CCGACTGTAGCCTGCTAGCACTGCACTTGCCAGGCAGTATGCATCTCTGACCATCTTCTGGAAATGGAGCTCCTGCTGGGGTCCCCCTGGAAGGTTGTGGTCTTCCTTGGGCAGGGCCACCGCAGTGGGGCTGCAAGCCCACAAGCTGCACTCCCTCTCCACTGCAGGCAGCCAAACTGAGACATGGGCGCAAGCAGGGATAGTGCCACGTTTTCCCATGCTTTAAGACTTAGTTCAGACAGAACTAGTAAATCTCCAGAATTTCATGCCTATTCAGAAAAATTATAAATGTTAAATTGTTTGGCAGCCTCTTTTATTAGTCTTGTGTCTTTTCTAACAAAGCACTAGATGCTTACAACCTTTCAAGTGGTTCATCTGCAAGAGCTTGTGTTCTGTGCTGCTGCTTGTAGTCAGGCTAATAGGCTAGTTAAAGTAAAAGGTATCTTGAATGAAGTAGAAAGAGCTGTCTCCTCTAGAGGGTAGTTAAATTCTTGCAGTGGTGTGGTGATTGCACACTATACTAGAACTGGAAGAACTGAGCTCAGAGATGCTAACAAGTAAAGGGGGTGAGTGTCGTAAGTGTAGGCTTTACAGAATAGCTCGGGAGAACTCCTGAACTCCATGCTTTCCAAATGCTGGTGTTTCATGTCAATGTTGTTACAGTTTTCCCTAAAGGATAAAATACTAAGCACTTCAGTCTATTATGATCATTGCATGATCCACTTCAGAAACACCTTCTGGTTTCTCATAGCTTTGTCTGATATTTGCAGCAACTCTGTTAGGCACGTACTGCACTTCTCCTACGAGCCTTAGAGCTGAAAGGGAAAACTGAAACACTACTGATTCAGAGGATGAAGATACATTGCAAAGTTAGTGCACCTAGGTATGCCTCCAAAGAGAAACGCTGAATAAAAATCCACCTTGGTGTGCTCTTGAATTGCAAAAGCCTTCTAATGCAGCCTGTGCCCATGATTTATAACAATGACTCATAATATTGCATTATACTTAATATGATGTAACGCTGATGCAAGATGCCATTCGTGGAATTTCAATGTCACAGAAAAAAAGAGAGGGGAGAGCAATCTGGTCATGTACCTTGCCATGCTGTCAAAATGAAAAGTTTACAGCCAAAATATGTAGAGCCTTTCAGTACCTACTTTGCTATTTTTTAGCAGGATAACTTGGAAAATAACATTTTTATTTCCTGGAGCATAAATATCTCTCAGACATACGTTATTGTGTTACTTACAGTAATTTAATTAACTTTGTACTTGAGAAGACAAATTTGCTAACAGATAATTCAGTCTTGCAATTATAACCCCTCACATAGAAGTTTGCAGGGCAAATCAGGATTATGCCTTTAAATTAATTCAAGCTTTATCTCTCTTTTCTGACCCAGCTGTTATGAATTCTCCTCCTGTTCTCCCTGTACTGCTTGCTTCTTCCTGCAGTGAATCAGCATTTCAGGAAATACTAATTCAAAGAGGAAAGACACCCTAAACTCTGTTTCTGGAGGTCAGACATAGCTGCTCTCCCATAGGTTCGACAAATGATGTGAGGCTTCTCAGGCTGCTTGGGGCCAGTTTTGTAGGGTGTATGCAACCCCTGGTTTGAACTCTGCCCCTTCCCTTCCAAGTAGCCTGGGAACTTTGAAGCTGTGCCTATGTGCTACAAAACTGAGTCCTGGTGGTTTGTCGCCAAGACAAAGAGAGAAACGGAGTTAGAGCCCTGTCCTTTAACAGTAAGGAAAACTGTTGCTTGCTCTGCCCCAGCAGCGGAGGCATCATGGGTGCTCATTCTGCAGGAACCATTGGCATCACTGGCGCTGGTCTGCAGTGGGGGAGCCGCTGGAAATGGAGACGTTTCACAGAGGCTGATCTCGGGTGGGAGTGCTTCTCGCTGCATCCCGGGTGTGCACACGAGTATTTTTCAAGCATTGCACTACCAAGGCTGTTGAGGAAAAGGAACATGGGTGTTCTTCGCCTATGCCCTCCACATTTGACACAGTCGATTTTCGGTTACTTCTAGAAAGAGCCGACAGATAATTGTACTATTGCTCTGACAGAGTCATGTATTCAGTAGGTTCAGAAAGACCGTTGTTGGCACCGCAGGAAGCAGAGAGACGGCTGCCTAGGTAAAACAAGACTATGGGAAGGTGGAAAGTCTTGAACTGAGATCTCCGAAAAGTCTGGATCAGGCTTTTCCTGGTGGTTCTCTGTTGGTTTATACCATGCAGTCCTACCTATTCTCAGTTTCCCTGGTCAGCCGAGCAGGCCTGCCTACTGCAGTGCAGTCTGTCATCTCCTGCTCACCAAGATGGAACAGATGAATTTACCAGTGATTCTTAAGAAGACAACTAGATAATAATATATGTATGATTTACTAGAGTGCACCCTGAATCACCTGCAGCTGGTGTCCTCCTAAAGAAGGACCTTCTCACAGGTCATTCATGAGCGCCCAGGCAAGTGGGCACAGCACACAGTGCAGTTTCACATTGCAAGACCAGAGAAGTAGAGGGGACTTCTGACTTTTGAACAGCATAGCAGTGCCTACAGGTGAAGATAACAAATCAATAAGAATTGAACATCTTTTTATTTTTGGAAGCCCAGTAGGTGCCAGTCTGTCTCCTAGGTGCATAAGTATCATCAAAAACCTAGCCAAAGGCAAGTAAACCTAGACAAGAATTTGTAGCCCAGAGGAAAGCCACCAAGAATAGATTGTGTGGAGGCTGATAAGATCCATATTGCTCCAAAAGGGAGAGTACCACCTCAAAACAAGACAGTCTTTGTTGTGAAAGGGTTAGGTTGTGAGAGACCTAGCTTGCCAAATACCCGTAATGGCCTCCCTCTGCCAATTGTCTTTAAATACTGTGATCTTTCACATAAGAGCAAAGCCTGAAAGGAATCTCTCTAGCAAAAACATCATTTATTCATTCTCTACAGGATGGTGGAGTAACATGCCTCTTCTCAGTAATGTTACTCTTTCTCTCCCCTGAAGATTTCAAACAGAGATTTGTTCGAACAAAGATCAGTAATTTTGCTCTGTAAGAGATGCAGGAAGAAGCGTAGAAATATCTCTAGATCAGAACAGTTCCTGAGCCTGCTGGAGGAATGGCAGATCGCCAGAGATAGCACACACCACTGTTCTCCCAGTTAACAATGCGTAGAGCTGAATCTTCCAGGCATAATCTTTTAGGACAGCAAATTGTGCACATACAGGTGAGATGCACAAAGACCTCATGTCCTCAAGGGGAGGCTGCTCCCACAGGCCAGCTCCAGGACCAACGGCCCTCCTCCTCTAGCCTAGGTCCATACCTGGGTGATAATGGAGACAAAAAATGCAACTTCTTTTTTTGTCCATGTCTTTGAGCTTTGCCTTGGAAAAAAATTCCTAGGCAGTAGCCAGTTCCATCTATGTTTGCAGTCCTCTGTAGGCTGGTATGTCATTTCTTGGGACTCTTTTACTGCCAGCACCTATCAAATAAAAGCAGACCTTTCAAGGAAGTAGCTTTCCCACAAAGGTGAAACTCCTCTGCTATTTTTTATTTCAGTGGATTTGTGCTCGTGTAACAGAGCAGACTGTGGGCCTTGGTGTTTTACCAGGCTTTTCAGTATGTGCCTTCATGCTACCAGAAGCCAAGTAATAAAGATCTCAGATCATTTGTTTAGCAAATATTAATGGTTAGTCCTTGAGTTATTCTCAGAATTCAGTGTTCATTTTGCTAGTATTCTGAAGTACCATGTTTGCACTAGACAGCCGGACGCAGGCATCGGGCTACTAGACAGAGTAAAACCATAATCTCACCTGTAAAACTACTGCAGTAGCAATAAATAAAAGAAGGGTTAGGCTTTTGTTTGGGGTGGAAATGACTTCTCTTCAATACAATCTGCTTGGCTCCAGCATAAGTGGAGATGTCTCAGAGCCTACAGGTAATTACCAGAACAAAAATAGTATCCACAAATTAACTGCTGTTCCTAACTTCCTTCTCCCATTTGCTTCTAAGTCACACTAACATAATGCTAAAATCAGTACTAATGCACAGGAGTGCAAACAGTGGAGAAGGTAAAATAGAGAGCTAAGAAAGCAAGAAGATTTACATTCATTCCATAAGATGTGATCAGCAAAACGTGACTCCCGTATGGAAAGCAGCACTGGACTGCACCTGCACGCGGCTGTATGGGGAGCACATGGACATCCCAGGCTGTTCCTAGCCGGTGTAAATCAGAGCCCCTCCACCACTGAGACCGCTCTGAGGTCTCTGGGAAACGCCTGACGTGCAAGGATCTGAGGAGCACAGATCAGATTGGGTCTTGCATCTGCAACGGCTGCCACTGACAAACAGAAAACTGGCCAAGTGCAGCAAACGGCGAAGGCAGAAACGCAGGGCACTCGGTGCCCAGGATCCCAGGGAACGTGTGTGTTGGAAGCTGCTGAACTCCCGTCTTCCCGCACGCTGGTTCTGCAGTAGCTGCTTTCAGCTACCCAGTCCCAAAGAATGGGAAGGGGGCGGGAAGCTTGCTGTGCAAAATGAGAAACCAAATCCATATCATGGTGTAACAGTGAGTCAGCCTGTGGTCTTTTTGCTAAAGTATTTTTCTCCTCGTAGAGGTAGTCCTCGCACAAAGAGCAAGGTTTAAACAGTTGGGTTGAAAATGATCCCTTTTCAAATGAGTGCGAAGTTCATGTCTGAACCTGACGAGAATCCCATTTACCCACACAGTAGCAGGCGAGCTTTTTATCATAAGTACCATTTGACTTTCCAGATAAAATGTTTGTTTGCTTTTTTCTTTTTACAGCTGTAAAGAGTAACATTTAGACAAATGTTTGATGGACAGATGGTCCAACGAGCTTGTATAACTTGCAAAGGTGCCTACTTGTCTACTGTAAAATGAGGTTAGCACTAAAGCGTGCTGCAGTTCTCATGCACTGTACGTGATCTAAGCCCACCTCCAACCCTCGGCCGGAGCTGGCCGCGTCTGGGGGAGGGCAGAGGCACTTACCTTCCGCCCGGCCTCGTTGTTGTGCAGGTTCATGAGCGTCCTTGCATTTTGCTTAATCTCCCGGGCATCCACAAACACTTTGGCGAATCCTATTCCGTATCTGATGTCAGCAGAGCAGCCTCCCCATTTCCATCCTTCCTCTTTATGGTACTGTCCTTGTTTTTCTTTGTCACAACCACAGTCACTCAGGTTGCCCTGTGTACAGGCAGCCGTAATTGCATGTGCTACTCCAGCAGCAATGATGGCATACGTGAACGCTGCTTCTCTGCTACCTGAAATTAAAACAGTGCCGTAAATACATTATACAACATGGTGACATTAGTTAGAAATAGATAGGCAAGTTCCTGCGGTGCGAACATCAGAAGGCTATTATTAGAAGTGCTGTAAATCTGCAGGCATAAGCAGGTCTCTACTCTTCTAAGTATTGATTTTTGTGGATGTTCACTCTCTAAAATGATAGCTCTCCATGAGGTAGTAGGAGATAAAGTATTATTTAGGCAACTTCCTATATATATATCTCCAGATAGTATTAGTAGTAGTCAAACTAAACTTTTAATAGCAAAAGGGTGGGGTGGCAAATGCTCTAGCTCAAAAAAAAAGAAGAAAAAATAGGTGGAATTGGGGGTGAGATTGCTAAAACATCCATATTCAACTTACTAAAAAATCAGGAACTTAATTCTACACTAAAAGGTATTTTTACAGGAAAACCACCTCTGCTAGAAATCTTGTTCTGAAAATATTTTAGCTGAACTGGAACATTTTTTTCACATTGTAGGTGTCACAAAGTTTTTAACACGGACATTTGTGCAAACTCAGTGAAATAAGTTTTGGGTTGAATTTCAAAATTTCTCACAGGATGGAAAAAAATCCTGGCCTGTTGTAGGTACCATGACTAAAGCAAGGCAAAGTAACAGCCTCACCAGAGGGCTCTGAGGAAGAGGTTAAGCCAGTATTATTTTGTGCAGTGTGGCTATAATGACAGGCCTCTCTTTGTCTGGGGGTGTTCTCACTTTAAATTTATGATTTAATTTATCTTCTCGAAGCTTTCTTGCATTCTGGTGTGTGGATTTCCCATGTGTGGATCCTATGGGATCTGCGAGGCTTTTGGAACCAGGGGCCACATGAACGCATAAGGAGGTTTGCAGAGGTTGCCCATCTATATCAAACAGCCCTTTAAAAATTCTTGGATCTCCCAAACTAAGAACTTACCCCTACTCTTACTTCTCCAATGACAAAATGTACCCTTGCATCAATAGGATCAGAATCAGGCTCTTCATTAGGAGAGGGCAGATGGGAAGATCAGCTTCCCTTGTCCAAACACCTGCCAGTGAAGTTCTGGCAGACCTCAACTGCTGGCAATAGTTTATTATACATGAAACAAGTACATCTCTGCTGTTTATTGGATTTCACAAAAAAATAATCACTAGGGAAAGAAATCTTACAAGCACTTCATTGTCAGCTACATCCCTCTTACATATATGATCTAGATTTCTGTAGTTGTCACTAAATGGTTCTTTTAATGAAAAATACTCAATTCCTTATGGCAAGGAAGTAAAATGGAAAACAAGATAACATAATCAAAATCTGTTAATAGGCAACTTCGTGCCCTTTTATTAGCATAGGCAATATTCCCATTGATACTGCCATGCACTGTGTTTATTGAGGAACTTGTAGTCAAGTATCAGACTTCCTCAAAGGATTTCTTGTTTTCCCTTATTTAAAAAAAGAAAAACCATAAAATGTTGAATTGTTATGACTGTGGACTTTGCAGATGAGGCTTTCTAGAACTAGTGGCTTTTTATGAAAATCTGAATGTTGGACAGAAATCCCAGGCTTTGGGTGTTTTTGGAGTTGTGCTCTCAGTGCCTCTCTGCGGCCACGTGGGGAGGCCAGAGGAGGCAGGTGGAAGTGGGGTCCCACTCCAGAGTGAATCCACGAGGACCAGCCAGGGCATCTTTCTAGTTCCTTCTCCAGTTTATCCTCAACAATATCCTCACTATTTCAAGTACGACACTATGAGAAACACACTGATAAACAGGAGAAGGTACAATAAGAAGTCCCAGTTTCTCTGGCCAGAGGGGAGCAATGCATTACACCAGATTTCTGTTTCATGAAGCAGCAAATGAGACATCATCAAAAAATATTTTGAGTTGAAATTTGTGTGTAGTTCTGTTTTTCCTTTGGTTGGATGATTTCTGATCTAGCACAAGTGGTTTTCAAGATCTAGAATAAAAAACACTGCGATATTTTTATCTGACACACTCAACATTGTAAAGACTAAGCAGTTCTTTTGCTTCTTAGAGGGGAGAAAAATGTAACGCAGAGACTATAAAACTAGCACAAGCAGAATCAGAATCCAACGTCAAGCTTGATCATAAAACATGTTACACAAATTAAGTTATTTTATAAGTTTGTCTTGTTTGGGAGAAAAGTTTAGCAGCTTTTTAAAACTAAAAGTTAGGAGATTACAAGGTAAACAAAGCAAGCGTCTGGAGGAATTGATCCAGGTAGGACGTCCCTCAGTACTTGTGCAGTATTGATAAAATGGCACAGGCTTGTCACGTCTGCATCACACCGTCCCTGTTTTCCATAAATGATTCACTTTTTAAAGCTTCATTACCCTTGTCCAGCTCATAGAAATGTCAGCGTACAGGGTAGGGGTAAGCTTAGTTCATTTTGAGCCTCTTCTGTGGCAGTGCTTTAGATACTAAAACAGTGTAATAGGGGGGTTGTAACCAAATGGGATAACATGAGTACATGTATTTTCCTGCCACATTTAAATAGCAAATACTACTCCTCTACTTCTGATTTCAGCAGACAGTTGAAATGCCTGGAGGATCTCAGAGGGAAACACTGCTTTAACAAGGTACGCTCAGGCAGCTGCTCCTTGCAGGCAACGGTTTGTTTCCTCTGTGCTTCTGCTGATGCTCTAGAGCAGGCTGACCAAGTACGTACTGCTCCATAGTCAGTCTAATCTGAAAATACGGGTTAGGTTGAAAGGCGCGACCCCATCACTTCTGGATTTCCAAAGATGAACAATTTGGAAAATGACCTGATATGATCCTCCTTTATTTTCTCTCTTGTCTACTTTTCAGCCTATGCTTTTTATGTGCATCTGACGGCCAACTTATACCTGTGCCTTACTTTCGCTCTGAAAATCTAGTAGTAAAAGATTCAGGATCTTAGCATTAGAACAAGGTCAGCCTTTGATATCAACACAATACTGAGACTCTCTCGTATTTAAGCTGTAGGTGATGGTGACTGTAGCATCACAAAATATTTCATAGGTGGGAACAGCACTTCTGGTTCAGGAGGACAAAGAAAGTCAGCAAAGCAGGAGAAGATGGTACAAAATACAGGGTAAGGAAAGAACAGAACTGGCAGCAATGCATCACACCATGTGAGACACAGAGCCCACTTCAGCTAATGACCAGAATAAGCAAAACACTTCTTTCCTAGCAAAAATAGATAGTTAATCAGTAGGCTGATAGTAACATCAACGGTTTCACTCTTCCATATAATCGAACACAGTGAGGAAAATCCTAATCTGCAGTCATTACCTTCTCTAGATAGCTAGAAAGATCAGACGGTAGCTGGAAGAGTAAACTAGTATGTTTTCAGCAGAGATCAGAAAAGACCTTTTGGAGAGAGTTTAAATAAAATGAACTCATTGGCATAGCCTACTCAAACTGTCTCTTGAACAATTTTCTGACCCATTTGCTAGACACATTGGGTGGAGACCCAGGAATTAAATCTTCTTGCAGACAATTCCCACTGAATCAATCCTTAATCTGCAACTGGACTCAAATCTATGATTTATTTTTTTTAATATTTGAAAAAAAAAAGTAAAAATTTAATTTAAAAAATGCATATAATGAACAAATCAGTTGATCTTCGTGGGAAGATTGGTGCAAATCGTGATCCCAGATGCTGGGTCAACTTAAGAGGTTTTTGTAGAGGCTTTTCCAGCCAGTGACTTGCAAGGGTGCACATAAAACCACTTGTGATGAGTAAACTGGCAAAAAAAAGCACGACAGCTGCCTCCTGAGACCTACAGGAGTTCTGGAGAAAGGTGGAGAGTTAGCTATATGTGTACAAGAATTGTAAGCTGTCCTTTCAGCTCCCGAATGACACGTTCTTCTCATTGTCTCGAATAAGCGAAGGCTAAACACACACCAGAGCTGAACTCCAAGCATTAGAAACTTCAGGAAAGGATCTGGCAGTCTGTCAGAGGTTGCTCTGGTCATTTACAAGGCCGGTGATCCAACAGGGCCGTCTATCCATGGCAGCATTTCCAGGTATAACCGCTGTAATACCGTAAGGGATGTTCAAGCTCAGTGCGGATGCGCTGGGGCTGGTGGGGAGAGGGGAGAGGGGAGGCAGCCCCCGCTCCCGACCCCACCAGTGCCACCCACCAGCACCCGGCCTGGAATTGGGGTGTGGGCATCGATGTCTGCCTGGGTCTGCTCCCCCCATCCAGACCTGGGGCTGTCCTCCATCTAAACAAGCGCTTCAGTGCTGTATGAACACAGGGGCTTTTCCTCATGTGTCGGACGTAAGTATCTCCCCGCTCTTTCTATTTTTCCCAGAATTCAATAAGGCATGCAGTGTGTTGCGGCTCCATTTGCTTTGATGGCAGATAGCTTGGCATCCACGGCTTCCAAGCTTTCTGTAGCTCCGCTCTGCTGATGCAAATCATCCTCCAAAGCACCGGAGTCCTGTCTTTAGACCCTTCACTGGGCACCACACAGCAATCCCAAGCTGCCTTTAACTTTGTCTCTGAGCTCTGCAGAGTCAACCACCACCACGGAGTGTCAGATGTCATAAAGGGAAGCACTAAGATTATCACAGGTAAGTGCAAACATAAATATTACCAGCACGGGTGGCTGTCCTAACACTGAGCATAATTATATACAACTCATGTATATCTTGGAGCATTAATCCTGCAAACGCTCACATGCATGTCTTTGCTTTTGTGTATAAATGTTCCTGAGACTGGGCTATGGCTGATCAGCAAGTAGCCTGCCTGTGTATCAGCTGCAAAGAGTGGTCTGCATTCTGGTTTTAATTGAGCTAACTGAAGTTTAATCTTAAAATGTGAACAGTTTGTAAAAAGCTTCGTTCACACTGATTAGAAATGAGAACTTGGTTTTAAAAAGAAGCACAATACCTTGATGTTGCATGGGAAACAGGACCTAAGCCTGCAAGATACAGAGTGGATTTACTTGCAGGAAGCCGGTAGGTGCTCAGCAGTTCGGTACCTCTCAGGATC